GACAAAATTGCAGAAACTATTATATTCCTTTCTATAATAATTTTGAATGTAAATGGTCTTCTTCCATGCAAATGGAGTGTGAAAGCAAGCAGTAGTAGCTACACTTATACCCAATAAGGTGCACTTTAAGACAAAATTAGAAGAGATGAGGCCAGTACATGCTGGTAAAGGAAAAAATACTAAGAAGATATAATTGTAAATATATATGCATTGAAAATTGGTGTACCTAATATCATAAAATAGATAATACTCAATATAAAGTGGCATTTAAGTCTCAATACAGTAAGCGTAGGAGACTCCAATAACCTACTCTTCCCAATAGACCAGTCATGCAAATAAAAAATCAACAGAGAAAATTCAGAGTTAAACTACATTTTATATCAAATGGACATCTGTAGAATATTACTTTCAACAACTACAGAATACACAGTCATTTTGCAGCTCATGAAATGATCTGCAAAATAGGATACACTTTAGGCCAGAGTAAAGGAACAATACACAGTGCAGCAAAGAACTGGTTCCTTGAAACAAAAATAAAATTGCTAAACCCACAAACTAACCAAAGGAAAAAGAAGAGAAAACCAAATTAGTACAGTTAGAGACAAAAAAGGGGATGTTATAGCAGACACCACTGAAATCTAGAGGATCAGGAGTGACTATTTTTAAAGCCTGTATTCTAATAACTTAGAAAATAGTGAAGAAGTGGATAAATTTCTGAGCATAATAACCTATGGAAATTTAACAAAGAGGTTCTTAAAAGCTTGAAGGGATCAGTAAGAAATAATGAGACTGAAGCAATAATACAGTCTCCCAACAAATGAGTTTACTGGTAAAGACTGTCACACTACTACATGAAATAGCAAAAGAAGAAATGGTTCCACACTCATCCTCCAAGGCCAGCATTACCCTGACCAACACTGGGCAAGGACACAGCAACAGCAATTGCAAAACTATAATCCAGTATCCTTGATAAACACAGATGCAAAAATTTTGAATAAAATACCTGTAAATTAAACTCAGTTGTACATTAAAAAGATCGCTCATCATGATCCAGTTGCTTTTATTTGAAGGGTATAAGACTATTTCAACATATAGAAGTCAATATATGTGATGTGCTACATAAATTGAAGGAAAGATAAAAATTATGTAATCATGTCAGTTGACACAGAAAAAGCCTTTGACAAAATTTAACCTTCCTTCATGATAAAAAGCTGAAGAGACGAGATACTGAAGGACCATATCTCCATATACTAAAAGCTATATACTAAAAAAATCACAGCCACCATCATTCTGCATGGTGAAAAAACTTAAAACATTTCCTCAAAATCAGGAAAAAGGCAGTGATGTCCACTCACACCCCTCCTATTCAATAAACAACTTAATATTAAGAAAGAGGAAACAAATAGAAGGACAGCAAATTGGAAGAATTCAAATTATCTTATTTGTAGATGATGAGATACTAAGAAAGGTATAAGGATTCCATCAAAAGATTTTTAAAGGTAATAAACTCAGCAAAATAGCAGAATACAAATAAACATTTAAATAATTAATAGTGTTCCTATGCACCAACGAAGAACTAACTAGGTAACAAAGAAATCAGGGAAACAATTTCATTTATAGTAGCCTCAAAAAAACCTTAGGGATCCAGCTAAGTAGGAGGGAAAAGACTTCTATGTTTAAATTAGAGAACATTGAAAAATAAAACTGAAGAAGATAGTAGAATATGGAAAGATCCGTCATGTTCATCTTTCAGCCGAATATTGTTACAATGGCCATTTTACCAGAACTGACCTACACATTCAATGCAACCTGATCAAAATTCAAATGACATCTTTCACAAAACTAGAAAAAAAAGTCCTGAAATTCATTTGGAAACAAAACAGATCCAGAATAGCCAAAACAGTCCTAGTGACAAAGAGCAAGATTGGATGCATCATAATACCTGATATCAAATTCTATGACAAAGCTGTGATAATCTGCATGGAAACAGACACAATGCAAAGGAATAGAAGACAAAAATAATCCCATGTAACTACAGACATTTATTCTTTGACAAGGGAGCCAAAAATACACAGTGGGGGAAAAAAGAAAACAGCCTCTTTAATAAACTGGATATTCATATGTAGAAGATTCAAATTAGATCTCTGTCACACACTATGAAAATCATTTCAACACGGATTAAAGACCTAGATATAAGACTGGAAACATTGAAACCGCTAGAAGAAAACATAAGGAGTAATACTTTAAGCACAGCCATAGGCAGAGACTTCCTGAGTAGGACTGTAACAGCACAAGAAATAATAGTAAGAGTCAACACATGGTATTACATCAAATGAACAAGATCCTGCACAGTAAGGGAAACAGTCAGAAATTTGAAGGAACACTTTAAAAAGTGAGAGAAAATATTTGCTAGTTCCTCTTCCAATAGAGGCTTAATACACGATATAGAATATATAAAGTCCAACAAAACTAACACCCCCAAAATCAAATAGCTTAATCAATAAATGGTCCAAAGAACCGAGCCAAGACTTCTCAAAAAAAGTACAAGTGGCCAATAAAGATATAAAAGAAGTTTAACATATTTAGCCATTAGGAAAATGCAAATCAGAATTTGCATTTACCACAGTCAGAATGGCCTTCAGTACTGAAAACATTAAGTGGTAGTGAGGATGCAGAAAAAAGGAACCCTTCTACCCTGCTGATTAGACTCTAAATTAGGACAGCCTTTATTGAAATCTGTATGGAGATGCCTCAAAAAACTATGGAACTACCATTTGATTTACCTTTGTCACTCTTGGTATATACCTGGAGGTATTAAAGACAGCATATGACAGGGTACCTTCATGTCCATGTTTACGGTGGCACAATTTACCATAGCAATATATGGAACCAGAAAAATGGATAAAGAAATTTTGGTATATTACACACTAGTGGGTTGTTATTCAGCTGTGAACAAGAATGAATTTGTCATTTACAGGAAAATGAATGGACCTGGAGACCATCATGTTAAGTGAAATAAGCCAGACAGAAAGACAGTATTGGATTTTCTCTTTAATATGTGGAATCTAAAGAAGATGACATAAAAGTAGAGGGGAGACTATTTTTAGACAAATAGAAGGAAGCAGTGGGGATGTACAATGGTGGGTAGTGGTGGAATGGATATGATCAACATATATGCACTGAAACCTGATATTTTGTAAAATTAATAGGCACTAATAAAATATATTTAAAGTAAATGATCTTTTAACCTAGTTTCCCTAAGCTTTATCTTTCTTACAGTGTTTATTTTGTTAAACTCAGCTCATTTGGCCAGTAGATACTCTTTTCTAAATTTTGAGCACAGAGTCATTAACTGTGCTGTTTTGTATTTCTTTGCCATTTATAAGGTAGCTGCTGGATCCTGGAGCTTGATCAGAGTTAGATTCATTTTTTTAACAAGACCAGAGATAGTATGTGTTTTTATAAGATGGGACCCTAAAGATGATAGCTTCTGACACTTAACTTTTGTCTTTTTTTTTAACTGGAGGGAGGTGCAAATAATATTTTAATATAACAATTAGTTTCATATGTCAGAATATCTCAGTAAAAATGTTTCTTGTAATTTATTTAGTTATAAAGTATTACTGTTTACATGGATATATAAATACTTATTTTTCTTTAAGTTTTCAAGTGAATGAACAGGCTAAAGGATGCAGGGATGGTACAAATAATTTCCTCTGTCCTCATTTTAGCCCTGTAGAGTAGCTGTGTATCTGTAAACATTTCTTTGAATATGAATCCTTTTTCTACTAGTTAGAACCCTGTGAACTTTGACAAGTTACTTTATTTCTTTGAAATCACGTTTCCTGAAATCATCTAACATTTGATCCAAGCTTCTTCTTGCATAAGTAACTCTATGAAATGTGTTCTGTATAACCACCGATCAAGTAATCACTCATAATAATATTATTCCAGTGGGGTCATCACAAGGTTTGTGTTCTTAAATACCTCCTGGAACACACAGTTTTTTTTTTCCAGATAATTTTCTTTATTAGTACATGTTTGCAGCATGCGTAGTGTTTACATTCTTTGTGGGAAGTTGGTATGTGTGCATAATACATCTTAATTCCCTTCCCTCCCTTCTCTTTTTGATAATTGTATGACAGTGATAGAGGAATCTATCAACTGATGGTATTATTTTAACTGCTTTCCTCACCTTTGTTTGAAAAGAATCATTATTACTTGATCATTGGTAATATAGAACACATTTCATAGAGTTACTCATGCAAGAAGAAGCTTGGATCAAGTGTTAGTCAGACGAAGTGTTCACTCCTATGTGAAACTACACTTTATTTTCTTTATACCTTACCTGGTTGCTATAAATTCCCCTCAGATTTGCTTGCTGTAGAGGGGGACTATATGTCTTTTAGTTAACAGTTTCCAGAAGTAAATATTGCTGTGTCATATAATTTGTATTTTTATATCCAGCCATCTCAACCCTACCAGATTTGAGGAAAATTGAACTATTTGCACTTGTGATAGTAAGAGTTAAAACAGGAACTTAACTGTACTGGATCCGAATCTAGAGAAATTCTTGACATTTTTTGCACAGGAGACAACCATTTAACTTAGAGAGTGAATCTGTCTGAAGAGTGAGACTGTCAGATTCTGGGAGACTCCTTGTATATAGGGAAGTGTGGAAGTGCTCAGCCAGGTGGTTGTCACTTTCAGTCATTTCCTATCAAATGTAAAGTATGATCTCTTATTTCTGTTGGTTGTCTGATGGCTGGACACCCACACACATCATATTGAATGCCTGGGTTTATTGTCTTGTGTAGTAAATGATTCAAGGACATCTTAATGTGTAGTACAGGTCACTCCACTTGGTCTGAAGTCAGAACCTCTCTGGTCCTGGCTAAGGGTTTTGAAAAGCACTTGAGCTTAGGCTTCAGCCCAATGGGACTTTATTTTGTACTTTTTTTCAGTTCCTAAAATTTTAACTTTTTTCTTTCTAATTTTAGAGAGAATTTCACAAGAGATTTGCATAGTTGTGGATAAAGAAGAAAAGGAGCACATAGGTCACCTTCTTGAAGCTGTGCTAAGGAATGAATTAAATGTGAGTATTCAGACTAAGTTTGATAAACTTAACTTTAGTGCCCAGAAGTTTTGCAGATAAAAGTGCGTTCCATGAAAAACACATAAGGAAATTAGTCAACCTATTGCTGTAATCTTGACTTGGTGAGATCCTTTAGTCTGTTAACCTTTAGGACTTGGGATCAGCTACAGACATTTTTCGATTCCTCTGGGGATTTTCTCCATTGCATTCTCTGGAAAGCTCTGCTTGATGCTTTGGTCCCAAGCAATGGCCTAGACTTTTTTTGACCCTAGGGGCTGAGCAGATTTTGTTGATTATATGAAATGAGGGAGATTAAGAGTATGGATGGGAATAAAGAAAGACAGATGGTGACAAAAGAACAGATAGTATATTGAGAAAGTAAGTGTATGGACCTCATTTTTTGAATTAGTTAACTCCTTAGTTAAACTGTAATATTATTACTAAAAAAATTGAAGAAGCAGGGTGATGGTACCTATAGGCACTATTTACAGCTTTTCCCATTATTTACAGCTTTTTCCATTTTCCATAGCTTTTATGACTGCTTTGTTTTGAAGTGTTTTGGTTGCTTTGACCAATTTTGATAAATTTTAATTTCCCTGTTTTAATTAAAATATTAAACTTATCAGAATTTGTGCCCAACATATAATGACTCTTTGTACACAATGTAAATTTCTAGGCAAAAGCAGAAGAAAACTCATTTTAGTTAGCTGTACAGTTTATGACAGCACATTTCGAAAGAACTGGCTCTGATACCAAACCGTCTGTACCTGGATGTCACTTGTGTTGCTTAATTGCTTGATCTGTAAATTGAATACATTAGAAATATTCATGAGTTGTGAAACTTATAGTGAATGTGTAAGTTTAAAAAATGTATTACAGTAAAAGACTCACTGCCCACTCAAAATACTCCTCCTAGCTTTGAACACACTTATCCCATCATTCTTGCTACTTTCTGAAGCAGTTCTGAACATCCTGTTTCCTCGGTGTCTTTAGGAGATGTGACAAAAATGCAGTGAATGCTGCTACCGAGTGCCATCCCACAGTAGACAGGCTTGGGTGAACCTTACAGCATGTCGTCATCCAGTTTACTCACCAGATCTGGCAGCAGGCCACTTCTGGCTCTTCCCCAAAGTCAGAATCACTATGGAGGGTAAATATTTTGAATCATTTCAGGACACTGAGGCAGCTATAACTCAACACAAGATAGTTTAAAAGAGAACTTCCAGAACTGCTTCAGAAAGTGTCAGAAAGGATGGGGTAAGTGTTTTTGAAGCAAGGGAATTATGGCAATTTTTTTTTTACTATAATAAATTTTTTTTAAATTTAAAGATTCACCTCATGTTTCAGTCACATCTTATACTCTATAAACGTGGTAGGGTTGGATCAAATATATTCAAAGTACTTATTCTTTATTTATAAGTAAATATGCATTTAATACTCACCATAAACCCATATGCTGATAACCCTGCAAATCATGTTAGTCTCTAAAACTAATCCTGCAGCAGATTATCCAGGGAGGGCTCTTGGCATAGTCTTTCCAGTTCCATGTGACTAAAATTATTCCGTGGGTTAAAATCTTCAAGGTAATTTGGTTAGATTAAAAATAAAAGAACACAAAACACCTGGATTGAAAAATTTTTCCTGAGCATCTTAAATATGCAACTCCTTTCTCATATTTCTATCAAACGTGATGAAAATCTGATTTGTCTTTCTCTTATCAGTGACTTAGTGTCCTTGTGTCGATACCCAAAGAATTTTTCCTTTGCAATCCTTTTGTTTTATTAAAATTCTTTTCATGGTAGCTGTTTTCACTGATATTTCTTGCTACATAATCTGTCCTTTTATTGTGTAGTTTGAAGCCTTTAGTGAAAATTCTTAGGACATTATTTTTAGTATTTTATTTTACTTTTGTTTTCTTTTTTAGAGATTGCTGTTGAATGCAGGTTATTTGTTCTTTGCCCATCTTCCATATCTATTACTTTTTCTTGGAATTTGTCAATCTCTTATTTTTTTAAGTTTTAGAGTTTTCTTTATATCTTCCCACCATGAAGATTTTTCTTTTTTCAGTCTTAATTTCTGTAATAAGTGAAATATTTCCCTTTTCCTTTTCATAATTACTGTAATAAGATAATTATTTTTGTTTTCATTTCTAAGTTAATGTAGTTATTTTTGTTTTTGTTTCTGTTATTCTAGTTCTACTTAAAATTTCATTAGTCTTATTAAATTCAAGATTCCATTTTCATCTGTATTTGAGTAGTTTTGATGTACATGGGTCACCTATGGGAACATCATTTTGCTCTTTGTTTTTTGTTTTGCTTTGTTTTAAGACAGGATCTCACTATATAATTCTTCTGGTCTTAAACTCACTGTGTAGCCCAGGCTGGCCTTGAACTCACAGCTATCCTCCTACCTCAGCCTCCCAATTGCTGGGATTGCAGGTGTGCTCTACCACGCCCAAGCTCTTTTTTCTTATATAAAAATTTTATGAGACTTGTTTGAGATTTTGTACTGGAACACTTTTTAAGGAAAGATGATGTATCCTTTTAGGAGGAAGGAGTGGGCAAAAGTAACGTTTGTAGCATAATGGTATAATATTCTCCTTTATTTTCACAAAAAGCTGAAAGATAAAGGAGGCTCTTTCTGAGTTTCCAGTTCTCCTGCCCTCCTCCTGTGCCTGAGCCTTCTCTTTTCTTTCTTCCTAGCCTACCTCTCTTTACCAGTCTAGTTCCTTCAGGTTGGTGCTTTCTTCCACAAAAGTGCTTCCATCTGTAGTTTTGAGTGTTCTTCGGTTCCAGTCTCCAGATAACCCTAGCAAGATGAGAACCTTCATGTTGCTTTTTTGTGTTCACCTGTGAGTTGGCATCCAGAGATTTTTGTTATTTCCAGACTTGCCTGCTAAAGCAACCAGATAACATCTCATGATGATTGTGGCAATTCTGTTGATTTTCTTCTTTCTGCTGTAGTGTGGGTCTATAGGTGCTGGTGATTTATCCCCTACCCACTGACGCTGGTTTTATGATAGACATTATAGATTTCTGGTTTTGATACCCTCCTTACACTCTGTTTTTATGACAGGTTCTTCAGAAACTCAAAGGTTAAAGCAACTCATCTTTGCAGAATCTTTCCGCACTTTATTCTTAAGCAATAAAGCTCTTTTGGCCATTTCTAATTTAAACACTTAAATTTGTCTCTTAATTTTAAATGTAGGTATAGTTTGCAACTTTGAATTTTTTTAAAAAATTAAATTTGTTTTAAGGTTAGATATTTGCTTATAGAATAAACAGAGCTAACTAGTATACATATATTCAAGAAATCATTTTCTCAAGTAATTCTTGTTATGTCTTCTTTTGGGAGAAAAAGACTAGACTGTATTTTTCAATGAGCTATTGCAGAACTGTTTTGAATTTTAATTTTTAAACTTATTTTGAATTGACACATAATTGTATATATTTATGAGATATACTGTAACATTTCAATAAAAATGTATAATGAACATATCAGGGTTTGCATATTAATCACCTCCCACAGTTACCGTTTTGTCCTGTTGCAAACATTCAAACTTTTATTGCTTTCATGAGATATTCAGTTACTGTGCCTGTCAACTGTAGTTCCTCTGTGTTGTGGAACATTGGGCCTCCGATGTAGAACTTCTAACAGGGAAGTCTGGATGTCCTGCTGCCTTATCTGGACAGTCTTGGTTGTCCTTGGAAGATGCGGCTCCTGCGTACTCCTCTGTAGCTTCTAGAATTGCTTAACAAATACTTAAGCCACAGGAAGACTTGTGACAGTGTTTTCTCTCCTAAACAGCCACAACCTAACAATTTTGCATAACTTTTCTTTGTACCTTCAACAGTACTACACTCTTTTGTCTTCAGAATCACCCTATGACTTCCTCCTTTTTTTACAAATAAACTTTCTGATTTTAATGATTTGTATTAGTGAATGTGGGTGTTAGTTAGTGAGATATAGTTTCTGCAAATTAAAATTCTTCTAAGAAAATGTGCAGTGAAGGGAGAGATCTTACATTTCACAAAAGTGTTTAAAGTTTGAAAGAAATTGTTCTCTTGGGAAACAATTTATCTGTATTTTTTCTTTCTTTGTGGAAGAAATTTATCTTGTGTTTATCATTCAGCAATCTACAGCAAACACAAAATGCCACATATTCTAACATTTTTTCTTTTTTTTTTAACCTCAGAACTTTTGTCTCTTTTGAAAAGAATATATAAAAAGGATGAAGTCACCACTTTGGAAATCTGTAGGGCAGAGCAGTGTGGGTGTGGAGCTGCTCAACAAACAATGAGAGTATTGTTTTATTGATGTGAGAAGGAAAAAATCCTCTCATTGAAAATGAAAGAAGAGATTGGGCATGCTTATGTAATTACCTGTGCTAGAATTTTGAGACATACCTTAGGGGTGATCCAAATGTCTAACTCTTGTTTAATGGGAGACATCAAACTCACGCAAGACATTGCTAATAAGTATACACATTTCATTGATACATGAATCACAGGTCTGTATTATCAGTCTTATTGTGCCTCTTGTTTTTTTTTCTTTTCTTTTTTATTTTTTTTTGAGCACCTTGAACAGAAAAAGTGCTTTAGAGACAGAACTGGCCAGAGATACATCTGGATATCACACAGTGATGAAAGGGACCTTTTTGACTTCTTCCTCTCAGAAAATATTGAAAAATAGTCTGAAAGTAGTAAGGAATGTATAAGTAGGAAAATGTGATCAGGCTGTTTTTAGTTCCTTAATTCATTATTTATCAAATAACAAATGCCTGCCATGATAGAGTCACTGATATAGGTTTGAATGAAGCAAAGGTGGTTCTTGGTTCTCAAAGAGGTTATTGTCTTGTTGGAGATAAAACAATGCACAGATGCAAGTAGAAAGGAGTGTTTAATGATGTCACCATGGTTATTATAAGGAAAAGTAAACTGCTTGTGTCTGGAAGCAGGGAAAATGATATATTGGGAGTGGAGAGCAGTGAGTGAAGGCTC